CACAAAAAGATGCTCAACATAATTAGATACCAGGGAAATGGAAATTCAAAACCACGATGAGTTACCATTTCATACCCACTGGAATGCTTTAATGTGTTGGCAAGGATATGGGGAAACTGGAACCCTCATATGCTGCTGCTGGGACTGTAAAATGGTACAGCTGCAATGGAAAACAGTTTGGAAGTCCCTCAAAGCTTAAGCATAAAGTTACCCTATGACCCAATGATTCTACTCCTGGATATATACTCAAGAAAAATGAAAACATATTCATAAAACTTATAGATGGATGGTCATAGCAGCATTATTTGTAGTAGTCAAAAAGTAGAAACAATTCTCCATGTCCATCAACTGAGGAATGGATAAGTAAATTTGACGTTTGTATAATAGAATACTGTTTGGCAATAAAGAGGGATGAACAACCATACATTTTACAAAATGAATGAACCTTGAAAAAATTATGCTGTGTGAAAAGAAGTCAGCCACAAAAGACCACATATTGTATGATGCCATTTATATGAACTGTCTAGGCAAATCTACAGAGACAGGAAGTAAATTAGTGGTTGCCTTGGGCTGCGGGGAGAATGGGGAGTGACTACTAACTGGAATGTGGTTTCTTTTGAGGTGACAAAAATGTTCTAAACTTAAATAGTGGTGATGGTGGCACAACTCTGAATATACTGAAAACCACTGCGTAATACACTTTATTTTTAAAAATTGTAAATTGACAATTTATAATTTATGGGGGATGAAGTGATGTTATGATTTGCAAATAAAATGTGGAATAATTAAATCAAGCTAGTACCACATCTGTCATCTCAAATACTTAACATTTTTTGCAGTGAGAACATTTGAAAATTTACTCTCAGCAGTTTTGAAATGTACAATTCTCTAGTATTAACTATATTCACCATGCTGTGCAATAAAACTCAAAAAAAGAAAAATACATTCCTTTTGTCTGAGATTTTGTACAAAATAGTACACTTTAGATGGGTGAAATTTATGATATGTGAGTTAAATCTCAGTAAAGTTGTTATTAAGAAAAGCATCAGATATGCAGATTCATATGGCTGTGGATGCAGTTTATGAGTATAAGTGGTGGGATTTAGGAGCAGTGCTTCTCAAACTTTAATATACATATGAATTACTTCAGTATCTTATTAAAATGCAGATTCTGATTCAGGAGGTCTGAGATGGAGTCTGAGATTCTTTATTTCTTAAACTCTTAGGGTACTGTTGCTGCTGGGCTGCAGACCACACTTAAGCAGTAGAGAATGTTTATGTTGTCAGTAATTGGGATCTGTCTAAAGAACTTTCCAGAAACTAGAAGGATTTGGCCAGAGTTTTGCAGGAAGGCAGAATGTGATTTGGTGGAAGAGAGGGCCTTAAAGGACAAAATAACGTGTGTCTAAAGACAGAGATCACAGAGTATATGATATTTGAGGGAGACAAGAGACCTCTTCATGGGGATACAGTAGTTGGTCCTTGGGTCTTTTGCTCCTGAGCAAATATAGCAGCCAGCTTCTGATCATTTTCCATTTTTGCAGAATTCTCTCTGACTGGTATTTTCAGTTTAACTTTTTTTTTTTTTTTTGAGTTGGAGTCTCACTCTGTTGCCAGGCTGGATTGCAGTGGCCCACTGCTCACAGCCACTGCAGCCTCAACCTGCTGGGCTCAGGTTATCCTCCCGAGTCAGCCCTTCAAGTAGCTGGAATTACAGACACGCGCAACCATGCCCAACTAATTTTTCTTGATTTATTGTAGAGATGAGATCTCACCAAGTTGCCCAGACTGATCTTGAACCCTGGGACTCAGACAGTCCTCTCACCTCAGCCTCCCAAAGTGCTGGGATTACAGATGTGAGCCATCATGCTCCGCTGGTTTAATTTCTTTTAAATCTGGGCTTTTGAAGATTGGCGTGACTAGGGGGTCTTATGAGATCCTGAGAGGAGTGACTGGCTAGTATTAAAACATTGTGTAGGTCTTGGGAGTTGGTTATGGATATGAGCCCATTAATCAGTAAGTACCCTTGCCTTGAGAGCCTGCCTAATTAACTTCCTAAGCTTTGAATGAGGTTCCTTCAGACTGGGTTCATGCTTGGTCCCAAATGAATAAACTCCTTAACAAGAGAGCAAATAAAGATGTCTTTCCAGATGGTGTAAGTTAATTATAGCCATAGTTTACAGCTTTTCTTGTTTTTCCACTTGAGCCAGAAGACTAGTTTGGATGTAATTTAAATAACCTTTTTGTTCAGGAGGAAAATATTAAAGCCAAATAATGTCTTACTCTTAACATTTTTACTGCTCCATGAAGTGCTAATGATCCTCTAAGCCCCAAGACTCACCTCGGCCTTAGTGCTTGCGCTCATGAGCTGCTCTCCTTGAGGCTCTGAAAGCATTACTGTCCTGTGCTTCGCCAACATTCAACAGCCCCAGTCTCTTCTAGTAATTCATAAAGTATGTCCAGTTTCCCAGAAGGAAAGATAGTGAAGTCACTTGGTCACCTTGTGTGTACTTTCTTCACAGCCCCATGATGAAGTCAGAAGTCTTATTCCTCTCCCAGATGGAGATTATCTCCCAGATAGAGAAGCTAAGGCATAGACAGTAGCATGCTTGGTCCTCTATCTCAAAGAGAAGCACCTTGGTGCATGGCCCAGTCCTCTGGATTTTCCTTCAATGAACTAGTCATGCTTCCTTGAACATATAGTTATTTTGTTATGTAGTTTTTTTCACAGGATTTCCCAGGTGTCAAATGAATACTGCTTTCCCAGATGCTTGTTAGTTATTTTTCAGGTTTTTATTTGGTCTCCAACTTAATCATCTCCAGATGAGATGCTAGTTTGTCAACATACTTGCATATCTTATTAGAGAGAATTCTCTTCAGTTCATTGAGTGCTTAATATACATCTCTAAGCTGTTTGTCTTGGAAGACAAATCAGCGAAAACTGTGTCTTAACTCTGAGGGAACTTCCAGGTTTATGGGATGGGAGCAAGATAGACCTTAGCAGGGCCAGGACCAGGGTGAGGCAAACAAAGTGCTAGGGCATCAACTCTAAAGAGACACTCACTCCAAGATGCAAGTCCAAGTTGGAAAAGAAGAAGAAAAGAGTTTTGAAATACAGCATGAAACCTGTGCATTGATTGTGCCTTTATTTATTTACTTATTTATTTGAGTCAAGGTCTCACCCTGTCACCTAGGCCGGAGTGCAGTGGTACAATCATGGCTCACTGCAGCCACTACCCCAGATAATCCTACCTCAGTCTCCCAAGTAACTGGGACCACAGGAGTTTGCCACTACAACTGGCTACATTTTTTTTGTTTTTATTATCTTGTGCAGACAGTTCTCACTGTGTTGTCCAGGCTGATCTCGAACTCCTGGGCTCAAGCAATTCTCGTGCCTCAGCCTCCCCACGTGCTGGGATTATAGGCATGAGCCATCATGGCTAGCAATTGTTCCTTTAGGAAATGTGGCCCTTAATTGTCTGCTCAGTTACCTCCCAGCTGGACCTTTCTGTTTTCTGCATCTACTTATCTTTTCCAGAGAATCTGACCTTTATCCTTCTGGGGAGATGAAGGCCTGAGTGAGGGCATCAGAATAAATTTTGTGAGGCAGTGTGTGGAGTAGGAAAAGAAAGGTGGGTGATTGACTTCATTGCCCAGATTGGTTAGGCAAAGCCTTTGGATTTTTTTTTTTTTAATTTAGCTAACAAATGTAGAAGCCAAAAAGCTTTCCTTGCATAGTGATAAGCATTCCCAGTACACACATAAAGGATACCTGGTAAATATGTGCTGATTTGACTTGACAGTAGAATGGAGTTCTGCCTGTTTTATTTCAAATGGTCTACTTATGGTACTTTTCTGAAATTTTCAAAACAGTGGGAAACTGGGCCTTGAACATCTTAAGTACTAAAGGAATAGTTGTTGATGGATTCACTTGAATGTTTCTAAGGCCTTGTCTTTCTTCTTTAGATCCTAGAACATTTTCAGCTGAGTTCAGTGTAAGAATGTGTTGGGTGACTTAAGTACTGAGACCTGGGTGTGCTTCTCTATGGCTACAACCAAGTAGAAGACTTGAACCCTGATCTCAAAAAATGTAGTATTCTAGAGCAGTGGTTTTCAACTGGGGGCAATTTTTTGTTCACCTGGGATTTGACAGTGTTATAGACATTCTTGTTTGTTGTAGCTGGGAAGATGCTACTGGCAATGTACAGGACACTCTACTCAATAAAGAATTAACTACCCCCAAATATCAGTAGTGCCAAGATTGAGGAACCCTGCTCTAAAAAGACAGATTTACCAATTAGAGGCAGAACTTTGAGGTTGCAAGACCATATCTCTAGTTAAAATCAGGGCAGGAACTAAAGCTCGGGTTGTTCAGCCCCAGTGTTCTACTTGCGACCATAGGACCATTTAGTCATGGCATTATATGACAGACTGTTTTATTTAACTTCGTCTCCCATTGATCCTGTTCATACTTTTTGCTCTCCCCATACTCAATTGTTTATATACTGTAGAACTTTATTCCTTCATGTCCCTACTAGTTCCTTTGCCTGGAACATATTTCTCTTATTTCTTCATTTGGATAATATTTCACATCTCCAGGAAGCCTTCCCTAATCTGTAACACCCCAGATTGGGTTAAGATCCACTTCTTTATTTTTTCATGGACAATCTTTATTACATAATAAAGAAATTTTCTGTTTATATGTCTGTCTTCCTCAGTAGACTGTGAGTGTCTTGGGAGTTAGGACTCTTGCACTCTGCTGCCTTCATTGTCCAGCACAGACACGCAACACACATTCAGTCATAGACATGAACCCAACTAAATGGCTAGGGAAGGGAGAAGTCAGTGTGAAATAGAATGTTGGGGAAGGCTTCATAGAGATTGAAAGACTTCAAACTTCCGTAATTCCTTGAAGGTATTGATGAATGCGTGAGCACCTTATATTGGGCAGAGACAGTTCTAAGATACTAACAGATTTTTCTGATGGTGTCTTTCTACAGGTTGATATGTCAGACCTTTCCCCAGAGGAACAATGGAGGTAAGTGTGGCAGTGGGGGTCCTGCAGGCTGGGAATTGCAGGTTAACCCAGCTAATGGAGTGGTATATATCTAACCTTCCTTTCTGCTTTTCTGTCTATGGGAGGCAGTGACTCATAACCAGCAGGACAGGTCTGTTGGGATCTTTCCAAGTACCTGGGTCACTCCCTTAGATCTGGGGAGTAAGTAAGTGATCACACCAAACCATCCATCTGAGCTTGAATATTATTTCTGGCATTTACTATTGTGTGATCTTGGGCCAGTTACTTAACTTCTTACAACCTGAGTTTGCCCCATTTGTAAAATGAAGTTTCTAACAGTAGCTGTACCTCATAGAGTCATAGAGATTAATATATGGGAAAATTCTTAGAACAGTGTCTGGCATGTTGGTAAACTTCCAGTAAGTGTTACCTGCTTTAGAGATGATTATAATCATTAGCATCATTATCTGTGACAGGATGGAAAGCTCTGGTTAAGAAAATGGGAGATGTTTGATATTAGACTAAACTGACTAGGAAAAATATATATAGAAAAAAAAGAAAATGAGAAATGTGTCTTCTGATCTCAACTCTGCTACTAACTTATTTTGTGACCAGAATGAGTCAACAGTTATCTTGTCATGATTTCTTGTCAGTAAAGGGATGTCAGAGTACCAGCCCCACAAACTTCACAAGGTGGCTGATCAGTGAGGTGATATCAACCAAATAGAATTTAATAGAAAAAAATCCCTTCATTTAGATTAAAACTCTCAATTTTATTTTTTATTTTTTGAGTTGGGGTCTCACTCTGTCACCCAGACTGGAGTGCAGTGGCCGCTCCTGGCCACTGCAACCTTGACTTGCTGGGCTCCAGTGATCCTTTCGCCTCAGGCTTCCAAGTAGCCAGAACTATAGGCGTACACTACCACACTCGGCTAATTTTTTTATATATATTGTAGAGATGAGGTCTCCACCAAGTTGCCCAGGCAGGTCTTGAACCCACGGGCTCAGGCAGTTCACTCACCTCGGCCTCCCAAAGTGCAGGATTACAGCCTGAACCACCTAGCCCGGCCAAAACTCTCAATTTTAAAAATATAGAATGGCAAAGATACCAATTCATGTGACAGACCCAGTTCGATTTATGATGACTTTAAGCTCAATATGCACCAGTTATGTATGTCAACAACCAAAATATTTAGAAGATGTTCATAGAAATATGTTATCTGCTGTAGGGAGGTGACAGTCCCACTGTGCCTGAGGTCACAAATAGTTTGTTCTAAGCATTGCATTTTAAGAGGATCTTTAACTGGATCGTGTCTAGAGTAAGACAACCAGGATTAATAGTCTCATATCATGCTATTTGAAAAGTGGCTAGAAGATCTAGAACTACTAGCCTAAAAGGGTGCAGGAAAATGGTGGTGGGGACAGGATAGTTTTGTTTTGTTTTAATGAGATCGTGACACATCTTTGAAGGGGTGGCCTTGGGAAAGAGGAGTGGATGAGTCCTTTGTTGTTTCAAAATATAGATTTAGGTCTGGTGCGTTGCAGCTGTAGAAAGATAAAGTTTTGTCTTATTGTCAGAAATATCTATAATAGTCAAAGTGTATTGGGAAGTAGTGAACCTTCTATCCCTAAAACATTGAGATTTTACTCATTTATAAACAAATATGAGTAACTACAATGTGCCAGACACTGCTGGTTGTAGAACAGATTATCTTAAAAAGCACGTCTTCTCAGCCAGCAGAGGTATTTGGCAAAGGTTATAAAAGTACTTTTTGCATTGGATGGAAACTTGAACTGGATGACTTTTTGGTCTTTTCTAGGTCCTCTCTTTGATTTCAGGTTATGTACATCCATTCAGTTATATATTGTCTGAGAACAAGGAACTTACCTTTTGCTATCTTTCTAAGTCCTCATCCCTTAGGTGTATTTATTTATCCATTTTCTTTCCAGGAACACTGCGTTGAGATCCTTAGGTGTTTTTAAGTGTGCTCTACCCTCATGACTTAGCCCATCCTCACAACAACCCCATGAGGCAGGCAGGAAAGATATGGACTCCTTTTGACAGACAAAGAAATTGTGATGTAGAGATGTGAGGCTTCTTGGCCAAGGCCATATAGGTGGGTCTGAACCTAAGTTTCTCACCCCCAATCCTATTCTTTCTGTCAGATGCTCCCACCCAGGGTAGAATTTTATATAAGATGAACCCTTAGGTGATGAGGTGGCTGACTGGCATTTGGCTTCCCATTCTGTCCACCAAGCTTCCCCTTTCATTTTATTATAAAAAACTTTAAACATATAGAAAAGTTGAAACACTTGTACAGTAAATACTCTTATATCTACCACCTAGATTCTATAGTTAACTTTTTGTTATACTTGCTTTATCATTGACCTATTCATAATTCATTGTACTAGGTTATTTTTGCTGTTAATCTGCCATTGTCCCTGAGAATTCCATGAGACATCATTTATGTTGTCCTTCTCCTCCCTTCCAAATACCCTGGTATAATGGGAATTTGTATAAAAGCATTGACAGCAAGTTACGTTTGTATTCAGTTTTCTTTCTAACTCCTTTCTCATTCCTCTCCTTTGGTTGATTCTGACCCCATAGTGGGAGAAGTGGCTGTTGTTAGAGCAAGCTTCTTGCCAATATTGGCCAAGGGAGTCACTTGCTGCCGCCATTCTTTAAGACCAGAACTGTACTCTCTAATTACTGAACTTCCTTAAGCCCTTGAGAAGGCTGTTTACCTGTGGGTACTGATGGTGAAGTCATTGTTAGATTAGTATAAAGTTGAAGCAGTCCAGACTTTTCAGGCTTTAACTAGCCTTAAGGATCTCTGACCCTGGCTGCGAGGGTTGGATAAATAAGGCAAGACTTTAACCCTGGAATCAGTACACACTTTACAATGTTACTCTTTTATTGGTGTAATAAATATCACTGACTAAGACTATGAGGCTTTATGTCTTTAACCTTTTGGGGTTACTTTTTTCTTCCAGTGTCAGGTTGAAATAGGCCTGAAATGGTCAGTGACACAGGTTTCTCCTGGACCTCCTTTGTGCTGCAAGAAAGGTGTCAGCTGTTTTTGCCATGGGAGCCAGGCAGCAATATCTGAACTTGGTTACTAGAGACCATATAGCAATGGTTCTATCCCAAAATGCCTGTCCTCTTTGGCATGTATCCATCTAGCCCCTAATTTGTATGGTACTCTGCAGCTGCAAAGCACAGGAATGTATTCTGAGCTATTGACTGGTGGGATATCTCTGGAAAGTGCTACCTCTTTATTACTACACCACCCCTGACTTGACTCACCCTGTGTGTTTGGCTTTCAGGGTCGAGCATGCACGCATGCATGCCAAGCACCGCGGTCACGAAGCCATGCACGCTGAAATGGTCCTCATCCTCATCGCTACCTTGGTGGTGGCCCAGCTGCTCCTGGTGCAATGGAAGCAGAGGCACCCCCGCTCCTACAATGTAAGCCACTTTGCCTCTCATTTCTATGTCTGTCAGTCATCAAGAGACTCTTCATAAATATTCCAGGGCCCAGCCTAACCCATGCCACATGTAGGCTGAGAAAGACAGTAACAATGAACTTTATGTATGAATGATGAATAGTATATGGAATGTATGTGTGTGTATGGGGCAAATGATTGAGAGGGTGAAAACAAGGCTAAGACATAAGACAACTTTCATGACTAGAAAAGGTAGGTCCTCCCTTTTAAGCATTGTGGGACAAGTTCGTGAAGGAGATATTCATCAGGAACTATTCAGTTGGAAAGAAGGGAAGATCATTTGACTGGGCAAACCAAGCTTCTTTTTTTTTTTTTGAGTTGGGGTCTCACTCTGTCACCCAGACTGGAGTGCAGTGGCCACTCCCGGCCACTGCAGCCTCGACCCACTGGGCTCTGGCGATCCTTCCGCCTCAACCTTCCAAGTAGCCGGAATTACAGGCATGCGCTAGCATGCCCGGCTGATTTTTTTTTTGTAGAGATGAGGTCTTGTCAAGTTGCCCAGGCGGGTCTCGAACCCGCGGGCTCAGGCAATCCACTCACCTCAGCCTCCCAAAGTGCAGGGATTACAGGCTGAGCTACTGAGCCCGGCTAAACCAAGCTTCTTACGGGTAGAATTTAGATTCCATTAATCTAATTTGTTTTAAAAAAATAGTAATTGAAAAAATTAGAAAAAAATATGAGATACAGAAAACAGATAGCTAAATAGCAGAAGTAAATTATTCTTTATCCTTAATTGTTTCAAATATAGATGGATTAAATTCTCTTATTGAAAGGCAGATATAGCAGAGTTTGTTTTTTTTTTTGAGACGGGTTCTTGTTCTGTCACCCATGCTGTAGTGCAGTGGCACAAGCATAACTCACAGCAGCCTCCAACTCCTCAGCTCAAGTGATCCTTCTGCCTCAGTCTCCCAAGTATGTAGGTTTACAGGTGTGTGGCAGCACATGGGGCTAATTAAATTTTTTTGTAGAGACGTGATCTTACTATGTTGCTCAGGGTAGTCTTGAACTCTTGGCTTCAAGCAGTCCTCTTACCTTGGCCTCCCAAAGTGCTGGAATTACAGGCATGAGCCACTGATCCTGGCCTTGTATTTTAAATAATGTATTTATATTAATGAATAAATTTCTATTTTAAACATTATGTATTAACTTTGTGCTTTGGAAGGTAATAATTATTTTATATTGCCGTATCTGTACCCCTCACATATACTCATTTCCTCTTTCCAGTTTTAGTTAAATAAATATTCATTGTTTATATTATTATGACTTGTAAATATTATTTACAGTTGGAGCCATGTGGTGTATTTGGTTCCCTTGCTTGGGATTCTTTTGGAATGTTTCTTTTCTTTTTTTTTTTTTTTTTTTTTGAGTTGGAGTCTCACTCTGTTGCCCAGGCAGGGGTGCAGCGGTCTGCTCACGACCACCGCAGCCTTGACCTGCTGAGCTCAGGCGATCCTTCCGTCTCAGCCTTCCAAGTAGCTGTAACTACAGATGCACACCACCACGCCCAGCTAATTTTTGTGATTTATCGTAGAGACAAGGTCTCACCAAGTTGCCTAGGCTGGTCTTGAACCCATAGGCTCAGGCAGTCCTCTCACCTTGGCCTCCCAAAGTGCTAGGATTACAGGCTGAGGTACCGCACCCAGCCGGAATGTTTCTTCTTATTTTTTTTTTGAGTCGGAGTCTCATTCTGTTGCCCAGGCTGGAGTGCAGTGGCACACTCATGGACACCTCAGCCTCAATCTGCTGGGCTTTGGCGAGCCTTCCCCTCAGCCTTCTAAGTAGCTGGAACTACAGGCACGTGCTACCAGCCTGGCTAATTTTTAAAAAAATTTGTTGTAGAGATGAGGTCGCACCATGTTCTCTGGGCTGGTCTCAAGCCCACAGACTCAAGCAGTCCTCTCGTCTCAGCCTCTCAGAGTGATGGGATTACAGGCTTGAGCCACTAGACCTGGCCCTTATTGATTTTTAAGAACTTTTTGTAGATCACGAATAAGCCTTTTACATATGCAGCAAATATCTTTCCCCAGTTTGTCATTCGGTTTTGTTTGTAGAATTAGTATAGAAATATTTATAGACTAGATTTATGAACAGTCTTGTGAGCTGGGGTCTCTATTATTTGCTATTATGTTTGGACAACCCATCTTGCTATTCCTGATTTTTTGTCCTGGTTCATCTAAAGTTCTTCTCCCTACCCAGGCATATTTTAGGTAATAGTCATAACCACCAGTTTTACAATTCTTGGGGACCCATCACTCTCAAATCTACTTTAGGTGGGTTCTAGAGAGGATAAGCAGAACGAAAGCATAGTTGGGGCATTACCAACTGTGTAATTACATAGACATAATCGCACCAGCTAGCAATTATTAATTACTATATAGTGTGCCAGATATTTTGCATGAGGTAGGTAGTATTCATTTTGTCATTATATGGATCAAGAAACTGAAGATTGAAGAAATTAACTGAGCCCCACTCAACCAGTGATTATCAGAGGCATGATTCACACTCCTTCCATTCGACTTCTGTGTTCCACAATGTCTATTTATTTGTTCAGTCAGCAGATATTCTGATCCTTTCTAGCCCCATGCTGGGACTGTTCTCAAGTATAGTCTTCGTTTTGCGGAGAAGCCACTTTGAAAACAGTTTAGCATTGTCTTTTAAAGTTTAATATTCAAATTCCCTTTGATCCAGGTTTTTAATTCCAAGATGTATACCAAGAGAACATTTTGGTACATCCTTCTAGGATTTTTCATAGCAATGCTGTTTGTAATAGCAAGCATTTGGAAATGGCTTAATGCCTATACATAGATGAATGGATAAGTAGTTGTGATATGTTCACATAATGCAATATTATATAACATTTAAATAATACATATAACATATAAAACTTATGAAAATAACATGAAATATAATTAACTACAAATAGTGGTTAGGATGAATCTTAGCAGTATAATATGGAGTGAAAAAGGTAAGTCCTAGAAGACTACTTATAACTTGATACTTTTGTTCTTTTTTTTTGAGTCAGAGTCTCATTCCTTTGCCCAGGCTGGAGTGCAGTGTCACGCTCATGGCTACCCCAGCGTCAACCGCTGGACTCAGATGATCCTTCTGCCTCAGCCTTCCGAGTAGCCAAAACTACAGGAGTGCACTACCACACCCAGCTAATTTTTTGATTTATTGTAGAGACAAGGTCTCACCAAGTTGCCCAGGCTGGTCTTGAATTCCTGAGCTCAGGCAGTCCTCTCGCCTCGGCCTCCCAAAGTGCTAGGATGACAGACTTGAGCCACTACCCCCGGCCCTTGTTTTTTGTTTGAAAAGTTCTGGAGATCTGTTACACAACAGTGTAAATATGCATAACACTACTGAAATATACACTTAAAATGGTTAAAATAGTGAATCTTAAGGGTTTTTTTTTACCACAATTAAAAATAACTTAAAATAAATTAAAAGTGGTTCATACATGACCTAATGATGAGAATGTTCATTAACCAAAGATTTTGAATAACTTATTATTTTCCCTACCTGAAGTTCAAAAATAAGGCAAGGAAGAAAGCAACTGCCAAGACAGGGACTTATCTTACCAGATATTAAAACATACCCTAAGAACAGACAAGTAGCCCAGTGGGACAGAATGCAGTTCTCAGAGACAGATTCAAGTATGTTGGGGACTTAATATACAATAAAAGTGTAACCACAAATCAATGAAGAAGGTATTAATTGTTAAATAGATCATGTTGAGAAAACTCTCACCATATAGAGAAACATCACAAGATTTGTACATAATACTGAATGCAAAGGGGACTCAATTATGAAAGGTAAAGTTATAAAATTAACTTTATAAAGATAGACAAGAAAGATTAAATAATTTTAAATTTGTGTACTTATTTATCTATTTTTTAGAGACAAGATTCTCAGTTTATCACCCAGGCTGGAGTGTGGTGATGTAATCTTGGCTTACTGCAGCCTCTACCTCCTGGCCTCAAGTGATCCTCCTGTCTCATCCCCACAAAGTACTAGGATTACAGGCATGTGCCACAATATCTATCCCTTGACAAATTTGGTTACATTAAAATTAAGGATTTTTTTTTTTAATTGTAACTGGGCATTTTATTATAAAAAATTGATGCTTGTATACACAAACTAATATGAACTCAAAATTCATCAAACATTTACTTCATTTTTTAGCTTGACCTTCTAGTAAATCTTTAGCTCCATTGATTTTTGGCTACTATATAAGGAGATCCTCCTTTGTCTGGATGATTTAGGAGCATATTATGTCGATGAGCATCTCTTATTTTTCCTTTATTGGCCGTAGGGCTTACACCTAGTGTTAATGCTGCTTCCCGTTTTGTCATTTTGGGTTCAAACCCACCTCTGTAATAGCCACCACTGAAGGCAGATTTTGGTAGACTTTCAAAAACTTGTTTTACTTGGGGTTCCATATGCTTCATGGCTTGCAGAACATAACGACCTGCAAATCCTGCAGCAGCAATAGTGAGTCCAATTGCTACCACTGTACTGGCCATGGCTCCAGCTCGGCTCCCCTGCCTCCCCTGGGAGCGCGGCTCATCCCAGCGTGGAGGTCGCGGCCATCAACTGCACGCCTTTACCGGACAGCGACGCAGCCCCCGACAGCAGAAACAGTGCCCGTCACCAGTCAAGGATTTTTTCTATGAAGGATACCATAGGCAAAGTTAACTGATAATCAAATGTTGAATACATAATTAATGATTAAAAATTGACAATAGATTAATATTAAGATCAGACTATCCAGAGGAATGCCTACAAATCAACAAAAGATAGCAACTCTAATAGAAAAATGAGCCAAGGATATGAACAATTTTCAGGAGAAGAAACCCAAAACAACATCGGGCATGAAAAGTGATATTCAAAGTCATTAGTAATTATGCATAATTAAAACAACATAAATGCACATTAAAACCATAATGAAATATCATTTTACGT